CGGCTCTGCGGCTCTGTGGGCCAGCTGTGGGCTGGCCGCCATGGCCCTCGAATGGCCAGCTGGGGATGGTGCCCCTCCTGGTGCGCCGGAAGCCTCTACCCGCTCTATGGGCCAATTGTGGGCCGGGCGCCTAGGACCTCGAAGAGTAGCGACACTCACAAGGATGGCGTTTCTCCCAGCGAGCTGGAAGGCACTGCGGGCTCTGTAGGCCACCTATGGGCCGGGCGATTTGGCTTTCAACGAATGGCAGCCCTCACAAACATGACGCCACTCCTGGTGCTGGAAGCCTCTGCCGGCTCTGCGGGCCAGCTGTAAACCAGGCGCCTTGGGCTTCGAAGAGCGGCGACTCTCACATAGATGGCGCTCCTCTCAGCGGGCTGGAGGGCTCTGCGGGCTCTGTGGGCCAGCTGTGGGGTGGGCGCTTTGGCCTTCGAAGAGCGGCCACCCTCACAAATATGGCGCCCCTCCTGGTGGGCCGGGGGCCTCTGCCGGTCTGTGGGTCAGCTGTGGGCTCAGCGCCCTGGCCTTCGAAAACGGCGACCCGCACGAGGATGGGGTTCCTTCCAGCAGGCCGTCGAAGAGTGGCGACCCTCACAAAGGTACCGCCCCTCCTGGTGGGCCAGACCGGAAGCCTCTGCCAGCTCTACGGGCCAGGTGAGGGCTGGGCGGCTTAGCCCTCGAAGAGTGACGACCTCACAAGGATGGCACGTCTCACAGCAGGCTGGACGGCTCTGCTGGCTCTGCGGGCTAGCTGTGAGCTGGGCGCTTTGGCCATGAGAAGTAACGACCCTCACCAAGGATGGCGCTCCTTCTGGTGGGCCGGACTTCTGCCGTCGGCTGCGGGCCACCTGTGGACCGGGCGACTTGGCTGTTGAAAAGCGGCGACACCCAGGCGCCATGGCTTTCACGCAATACACATACTTGGGGTCGACGACAGGATAATTGAATCCCAAGTGGGGTGGCGTGCCTGCACCAGCGTGCCTGCGCCGATGCCTGCGATGATAGGGCGACGCTTGCACCCTATCGTTTGACGCTCCAGGTGTGGGCGGTGCCTGCGGTGATGAAAACCCATACCCGCAGCGCCTTCGCGAAAACAGGGAGATTGTTTGATACGACCGCGGTGCCTGCATCTGGCCGCGCGCAACGCTTGCGCGGATAGAATGACTGCCCCCGCGGAGCCTGCGCTGACAACTCGATGGCGAGGCGAGGCCTGCATCCAAGTATTTGACGCGCCCGCGGTGCCTGCGCCGAGCCACGCGCAGCGCCTGCGCTGATAAAGCGCGTCCTCGGCGCGAGGTCGCTGGTTTTGCGTAGGCGGGCAGCTGGGCGCAGAAAGTATCCACCTGACCGAACAAGAACGGGAAGCGAATATTCGACTGCGCGTTGCAAAGGAGTCAAATTTGGAACGCTTGAGCGAACAAGGCGACGGCTATGTAGGGGCGTTTTCGAAAGGTTTTGCGTCACAATGGCGCTCTGGATGCCTTTGTGGGTTCTTCAGAATCTGCTCGGGGTTGTCTGGTGGTTCCTGTGAGAGCTGCGTTTGAAGGTCCTGGGGTCCTGGTTCGGTTTGTCCTGGAGCCGTTTTGGTCTCGCCTTGGGTTTTTTGGAGCGACCGTTCGGCGTTTCGTGGCGCGTGTAGCCTTTCTTGGGGGTGACGACGCGAATGGCTGTTTGGGAGGACCTGGGCCGTTGCGGGGTTCTCCTGGGCCGTTGCAGGGCCGTCTTGGGACCCTCTTGGGGGTAATTCGATCCTCTTGGGGGGCTTCTTGGAAGGCACTTGGGACATCTTGGGACCTCTTGGGGCCTCGTGCGGCCTTCTTGGGACGGCAGGCTCGAATTTTCGGTTCGTTGTCCTCTTCTGGCTTTCCTTTCGGGGCCGTCTTGGGTCTCTTTTGGGTCGTCTTGGGGCATTCTTCGGCCGCCCTGGGGCCCTGCTGGATCGTGTCCCGCAAGGAAGGTGTTGCTTCTATCGGGCGGGTGTGCAGATCTCATTTAGGTGCGTCTTGGGGTACTTGGGGGGCGTCTTTGAAAGTGTTTGCGTAACAACGCAGCAATGGTGCTCTGGAAGCCTTAGGGGGGGGGCCTTCAGAATCTTCTCGGGGTTGTTTCGTGGTTCTGTGCCAGCTGCTTTTGAAAGTCCTGGGGCCCTTGGTTGGTCCGTCGTTGAGAAGTCTTTGGAGCCTATTGGGCTTGCTTGAACAACTTTCTCAAAGTTTCCTGAGTCGTAGATATGATCCTCGCCCCAGAGGGGTTGTCTGTACGAGTGTCGGGTCTTCAGAGATGGGCCCACTCAAAGTTTTTCTAGTTCGGCCGTTCTAAGGGTCACCGAAAGTTCGTCTACTCTGTTAGTCTCGGTTTTCTATTCGGGTAGCCCACTAGCTTTCGCCCAGGCTTACCTTCCAAACCCTCCCGAAAGCTAACCTAGGTTGACTTATGAGTGCTACCGGTAACCGTACGCTTCGCTTAGGTGTGCTGGAAAGCTTTCCCCTGGAAACCAAGTTCAATCAATTTCTTGAAATAATCCTTGAATGTCTCGTTAGTCGTACTCCGAAGTCGAGCCATGAGGGCCTCTCTAGTTATACGCGTGGGGTGATTATTCTCAGCTTTCCCTACGCCTACTGGTAAGGTCTTTTGCAGCGTGCACCTGAGCCTTCCCATAATCCGAAGCGCCATGCCTCTCGCACAACTTCTCAGCCTTCCCCGAAAGCGTGTTCTATCGTTCTCTTGAAGCTCGCTTCATGCCCTGACGCTTGCCGCGTGCTTGGCAGATTGCGGTTGTCGTGGGCATGCCTCGTGCTCTTCCCTGGCGTTGGAAGCACACTCCTGGTTTGTCTCCTAGATCCTTTCCAGCCCTGCTCTCAAAGCGGAGAGAAATGCCGAGGGGGGGGACAAAGGTCGCAGAGGCAGATGATTCACTGGATAGCGAAGAAATCTCTGTTGCCCCCCAAAATCAGAATGTCGGCCAAGGCTGGTTGTTCCGATCATCGCTTACACTCATTGATGCACTCGCGGGCGAGGAGTTGTTTTCCTTCTTCCAAGCCGTGCGATGGCGGGATTGTGGATTTCGTTCACGTTGTGTTCGACATGCTCGCAGAGGGCGCTACAATAGCTCGAGCAATCAAAAAATCCTGTTCAGACTGCGCTGAATCTCGGAGGGCACTCACTCCGGGTGGGGCTCGTCGCCGAGATGGTGGGCGATGCGCTTCCGCTCAGGCGAGAGGAGCGTGCGAATCGCGTCCTCGAAGGCGTCGTTGTCGTCGCGCTTGCGCTTGAGGTTCGCCGCAGGCTCTTTCATCGTGCCCCAGGCGGCGGTGAGCTCTTTCTCCCACTCCGGGTAGTTCTGAGCGTCGTGCATCTGCCAGACATCGGACAACACGAGCTCGCGGCTGGCCTTGTCAACGTGGGAAACGTGGACTAACGCCACGCGCTTGCGGGCGATGGAGAACAGAGGCAAACGGGCCACAACCGAAGTCGTGGAGGCCGTCCATTTTGTCTCTGTGTCGGGCCCCAGCACGTCCGTGATGACGTTCTTGATGGCGAAGCCGTTGTCGATGTTGTCGACCTGCGGCTGCTGCGCTCCGCGCACGAGAACGAGGGCTCCAGCGGCGAGGACCGGTTCTTCGGTGCGATCGGACGTAGCCTGTAGGCGGCCTGAGGGGGATTGACTGAGCCGCGGCAGCATCGCGGGCAAAAGCCCATCTTCGCTGGGGGCTCGTGGGAGAGGATCACCGTGGTCGCGCCGGCGCGTCTCGCCGCCAACGATGACGAGCGTGGGCGTCTTGGGGTTCGTGGATGAGTCTGACGTGGACGCCTTGGAAGCAGCGAATCGCAAGCGCAGTCGCGCTCGCTGGAACTGGATCGCGTCGTTGGCCACCGCGGAGAGGAAGCCTGCCTTGTCCTCTGACTCCGACACGAGGAGGGATGTAGCCTCCGGGAGATTCGCTTCCAGAGAACCTGACGCGTCCGAGACGGATACCCTCGCGTACACGCGGTCTGCGCCCTGCGCGCACAACCGCTCCGGGTTTGCGTCAACCAAGGTCATTGTGCACGAGGGGATTTCAAAGAGCGTGTCCGGCAAGATCTTGTGGAAGCTGGTCAAGAACTCCATCGAAGACACGTTCATGAACACAGCAGGCCCCTTTGCATAGTCGGCGGCTGGAGCGCCGGTGCTCAGAGGCCTCGCCACCACGGAGGTCATGTCCAAAGCTAGCAGCGCGCGTGCGCCTGGGAGAGCACCAGAAGCCTTGCATGTCACCGTCGAGCTGTTGGCCGTCAAAGGGATGCCGCCGCCGTCCTCCTTCGTCAACCAGCCCCCGAACACGTAGATCACGTTGGTCTCTTCCACATCTGGCACGCGCTGACGGTCATCATCCCAATAATTAACTTGCAATTCGTGCCCCTTGGAGTCTGAGATGTGCACTTCCGTCAGAAGCCGGTCTTTGTGGCTCAGGTCCTTTTTCACTTTCGTGATTTTCCCGTACACGTCCAGGGTTTGCGGCCGTCCCAGTGCAAGGACATCGCCCGCTGTCATGCCGGGCTCTATCTCCGTCGGCAGGCGAGCGGCGGCCTCCGGGGCGATTCCATCAACCTTCATCTTCTTGTGCAGAAGATTGAAGGTGCAGGTGTGCGGGGCCGAATGGTACTGGTCGTTGCGCTTGGACGCCTTCGCCTGGCTGAATTTCCAGGCGCTGCCGGGGATGTACTTTTTCTCCAACGTATTGATGATGTTATGCTGCTCCTGTGGTTTTCCGAATGCCAGGCCTTCTCCAATCATGTAGGTGCCGTCCTCTGCAACGAACCATGCGCCGAAAGCGGTCAGCTCCCCGGACGTGGGCGTGCGCTTGTAGAGGTGCGTGACACGTAGCTGTAGGGGGTGCGTAGCCGCATTGCTTGTGTTGAAACCTTTCACGGATGCCATGAGGTCGGCTTATCGCTAACAGCTCTAGGCCTCTGATGCACCAGAAATCTCAATGGCAAATACAATACCTGTAGTGGCTGCGGCGCAAGAGTGGACGGAAACTCGCACGACTGTAAAGCGGGGGGGGGGGGATGTTCTGTGGTTTGGAGGGGCCCTCGCAATGGCAGCGGTCCTGACCTCGTTCGTATGTGTTTGGTATTGTTCCCTATCTAGGCTCTGCCTACAGGGTTCTTACTCGGTTGGCGTAAAGAGGCCGGGCAGTGTAACGCGCCCCGGGCGGTTCCCCCAGTTGCGCCTCCCTGATTCCCCTGGGTGCGCTCCCCTGGTTCTCCCACCTAAGCTAAGCTTACCTTAGCTTAGCGAAGCTTAGCTTAGCTTAGCTTAGCTTGGCTTGGCTTGGCTTAGCTTAGCTTTAGTTTAGCGTAGCTTATCTCATCTTAGCTTAGCTTAGCTGAGCTTAGCTTAGCTTAGGCTAGCTTAGCTTAGCTTAGCTTATCCCATCTTAGCTTATCTTAGGTTTAGCCTAGATTAGCTTACCTTAGCGTAGCTTAGCTTAACCCATCTCATATTAGCTTAGCTTAGAGTAGCCTCGTTTAGCTTAGCTCAGCTTAGTTTAGCTCATGTTGCTTCCCTAGGGGCTCCAACTCCTAGGTAGGGTCGCACCGGGATAATTTTACAAGGGCAAACGAGGTTGCAGCGGCGATCGTGGCATCCAGTACCTTTGTCACCGCTTTGCTTCGGGGGGGGGTCCAAAGAGGTCGGAGCGATTTAAACAGTGCGCCAAAAGAATCCCTCCAGCCCTCTGGGCGTAGGTGGTCTAGAACGTTTCCTCTTCCAACCTCCTTCTCCCTCTTCGGGGAAGGGTGATCCGTCCCCTGGACCTGTACGGGAGTCGCGGCGACGCGTTGGGGCGACGAAGATGGCCGAAGACGGATCGAAAAGAAGCTCAGAGAGTCCAACATGTCATCCAAATGGCTCAATATAGCGCAAAATGCCTTTAGATGGCTCCCAAGATGCTGCGTCCGGATTCTCATCCCGATTCCGCCTTCAAGAGCCCCCGGATCCGAAGACGGCCCCGAGGAGCCCGAAAACGGCGAAAAGAATATCTCCCGAACCTGGAGCCCCGCTCCTCGGCGACAGCGAAGTTGTCGACGTCGCCGTTATCGTCGTCGTATTTGTCTCCGCTGCCGCCGCTCGAAAACTGGGAGGGAACACTGTTGAGAAAAACTGCAGTAGTGCAGAAATTCTCGAAAGTGTTCCCTCCTGGTTTGCTGCCGAAGACCGACGCCAATGAAAATTGTTCGGCGCTATCGGCTCTTCATGTCGCCGTCTTCGTCATCGTCGTCGTCGTCCCCGCTGCCGCCGCTCAAAAACTGGGAGGGAACACTTTTGAGAAGAACTGCAGTAGTGCAGAAATTCTCGAAAGTGTTCCCTCCTGGTTTGCTGCCGAAGACCGACGCCAATGAAAATTGTTCGGCGCTATCGGCTCTTCATGTCGCCGTCTTCGTCATCGTCGTCGTCGTCCCCGCTGCCGCCGCTCAAAAACTGGGAGGGAACACTTTGGAGAAAAACTGCAGTAGTGCAGAAATTCTCGAAAGTGTTCCCTCCTGGTTTGCTGCCGAAGACCGACGCCAATGAAAATTGTTCGGCGCTATCGGCTCTTCATGTCGCCGTCTTCGTCATCCCCGCTGCCGCCGCTCAAAAACTGGGAGGGAACACTTTTGAGAAAAACTGCAGTAGTGCAGAAATGCTCGAAAGTGTTCCCTCCTGGTTTTCTGCCGAAGACCGACGCCAATGTAAATTGTTCGGCGCTATCGGCTCTTCATGTCGCCGTCTTCGTCATCGTCGTCGTCGCCCCCGCTGCCGCCGCTCAAAAACTGGGAGGGAACACTTTTGAAAGAAACTGCAGTAGTGCAGAAATTCTCGGAAGTGTCCCCTCCTGGTTTTCTGCCGAAAACCGACGCCCATGACAGCGATTTGGCGCGTTCAACTTTTCATCTGACATCCGTCTTCAAGAACTCACGGGCCCGAAAACAGCCGGAGAAAAGAACCTCCCTCGAACTTCGAGCTTCGTTCCTCGACGAAGGCGATTCTGTCGACATCGTCGTCGTCATCGTCGCCGCTGCTACCGCCACTGAAAAAACTTGGAGGGGGCACTTTTGAGAAAAACTGCAGTAGCGCGGAAATTCTCGAAAGTGTTTCCCCTGGTTTTCTGCCGAAGACCGACGCCCATGAAGGGCACTCGGCGCGTTCGGTTTTTCATCTCCCATTTCGTTTCCAGGCCCGAAGACGGCCCCAAGGGGGCCGAAAACGGAAGAAAAGCCTACCCCTATCCTTCGTGGTTTTCTGCCGAAAACCGGTGCCTTGCGTGTGTGTACGACGACAACGACGACGACAATGAACGACAACCCCGACGACGGACGACGGGCGGTTCCGCGGCCCTACCGACCCACCGCCTTCCGAGCCGCGGAACCGTCGTTGATGTTTTTCAGGAACACATGCCTTCAGACGGAGTGCCCGAGAACCGCCCCTCGGGCCCCGAGGCCGAGAATGCGGCGAAGCCGGAGCGCACACGCGTCGGCAGTCGATTCAGGCGGACCGCCTCCGTTTCCTGGCGCCCGTCGTTTTCAAAAGCGCTGTGCGTTTCAGACGTCTGGGGATCCTCCCAGAAGACACGTGGCAGGCCAACCGGAAACCCGCACAAGCATTATATTGAGTCGGCCGCGCCACCAGTTCCCGGGGGCGACACGGCGTATGAGCGATTAACCTGGTGTTCCAGCCCTGTCGGAAGCTCCGTTGTATTCCTGGGCCACGTCTTTGCCGTCTCATCCTCCTCGTCGTCGTCGCACCCGCGCGTCTCCCGAGGATGGACGGGGGCCGGCGGAATGGCGCAGGCCTCCCGGGTGAACTCTTCATTCAAGTCTTTCGCTTTGGTGACGCGGAGCCCGTCCAGGGGCGCCCCGTCGACCTTCACCCGACGCGGGTGCAGATCCACGAGAGCCTTGAGCAAATCACCGCGAATGTCCTCGCGGTCGCCCGCAGGGGTGGCCAAAGAATAAAATTTCAGCGCTCCGGGGCCGTCTGGGTGATCCCTAGTGTTGGCCAGCGCATGCGGGGCGAAGGCAGGCTGATGGCGCGATAACATGTTCAAGATATTGACCAGATTCTTTCCAAGAAACGACTCGTCGATTTTGTTATTGAAGCCCCGCTTTCGTGACAGAAACTTAAGTTTGGCGGTGAATGACGGCAATTGCACTAACGATTGCGCCTCGTCACGTGACAGCACTGACTCGAAGTCCAAGCGAACGTCACCCGAAACGTCCTTCATTTGTTTTACCACATCCGCCAACGCGCCACCTGCCACGCTCAGGCGCATTCCGGTGTCACAGATTGTTCACAAAGGTTTCCGACCACGTACGGGGGGAAGAGGAGGGGCAGGAAGAGGGGGAGGAGGAGGAGGAAGAGGAGGTCTCAGAGGAGGAGGGGGAGGAGGAGGAGGAGGAGGAGGAGGAGGAGGAGGGGGAGGGGGAGGAGGAGGAGGAGACGAGCAGGAGCAGGAGGAGGAGGGAGCGAGGGAGGGAGGGAGGGAGCGAGGGAGGGAAGGAAGGAGGGAGGGAAAAAGGGAGGGAGCGAGGGAGGAGGGAGGAGGAAGGAGGGAGGAGGAGAGGGAGGAGGAGAGAGGAGAGAGAAGGGAGGAGCAGGAGGAGCAGGAGAGCAGGAGGAGCAGGAGGAGCAGGAGGAGCAGGTGGAGGAGGAGGAGGAGGAGGAGGAGGAGGAGGAGGAGGAGGAGGAGGAGGGGGGGGGGGGAGGAGAAGCAGGAGGACAAGCAGGAAGAGGAAGAAGAGGAGGAGGAGGAGCAGGAGGAGGAGGAGGAGGAGGAGGAGGAGGAGGGGGAGGAGCAGGAACAGGAGCAGGAGCAGGAGCAGGAGGAGGAGGAGGAGGGAGGGAGGGAGGGAGGGAGGGAGGGACGGAGGGAGGGAGTGAGGGAGGGAGGGAGCGCAAGACTCAAGACCTGTCCAAGTTACGTGCAGCCCCGAGCGCGCCGGGTGGCGGAACGTGCCGCAGGCAACTGGGCGTTGAATTGTATTTGTATCCTTGGAAGCGGATTGAATAGATTGGTTTCCTCGCAGACAGAAGCTTTCCAAGAAATTTCTCCATCCTGACTTCATTATCGACTATGCTACTGCCATCTTGAATGGGGAAATCTGATACAGGGCAAGATATCAAACCATGCACAACCTCGGCAGAATTGAACACTGAACAGAATCTCACATACTGTGTTTGCACGTGCAACGGCGCATTCAGTTCATGCAGTCGACTTGTCAAGTTCATCAGTGAATGGCAGAAGGAATCGTCATCAATCACGTTGTGATCGTGTAGCGACTCCTCGAGTTTCCCATACAACGCTTGATAAACGCTGGGTTTTCTCTTGCTCCATTCGTTCACTTTATTGATCGTGCTGTAGAACTCTTCGGACGCGAGGTCCCCCCCAGTCCAGGTGACACGGTGTCGGCGTGTGGAAAACACTGTTCTGTTTGACTCGTCGTCGTCGTCGTCGTCGCCGTCGTCGTCGTAGTCTTGTCGTCGTCGTCATCTTATCGTCTTGTCGGGGCCCTTCTCCGCAAGCGTGCCAACCAAAGGAACATTGAGCAACGTCGTCATAGATTCGAAGGGAAGCACCTTCCCTTTGAACTCTTCCAGCCGGGAGGGGGGGGGTCCCGAGTCCAGTCCTGGGGGGGAGTCCTGGAAGGAGTCCCGGGGGGGTCCCGGGTCAGATACGGCCCCCGCCCTGGGTGTCCTGGAGCCTAAAAAGCCCAAGACGAACCAACAGTGCCCCAATCTAAATCCCCCCCGGGGGAAGGGGTGGAGGTGGGAGTGTCCTGGAGGGGGTCTGGGGGAGGTCCTGGGGGGGTCCTGGGGGAGATCCTGGGGTGGCCCAGGGGGGGGTCCCAAGCGTGGCCCTCGGGGCGGGGTCCCCAGGTCAGAATACCATCCTCCCCCACGGGGCCCTGGCACCCCCCAAACAAAAACAGAGACAGCCCAAGAGTCCCCCAAGACGTCCCAAAAGGGCCCCGGATC